ATAAATAAATTTGGGAACAGCTTCAAGGGCCAATCATTTGGTTTTTTCCCCGTTTTTAAGATTTTCTCCCCAAAATTTATAGGGGCGGGAAAATTTTTCCCAAATGGGTCCCGCATTGCTTTTAAAAAAAAATTTAAATGTTGAAGAAGAAATAAAAAATAACAAATCCCACTATCCCTGCTTTGTATAAAGGAACCAAAGCAAAATAACAAACCCCTTTAAAAAAAAAAACCGAACATGTTTCTTTCTCTGCTTATCAAAATATGTAATCAAATGTGTATGCAAATCTGATAAAACTGAATACAAGACACAACGTGGCGAGAAGTGTCGACATTTTACAAACTTACGATTGGTGTTAGCATTCTCAATATTTGTGAGTCGAAAACCGCCTTTTCTTATTAAAAATACTTATTCCGAAAGATTTATTATAATATACTTTACCTGATTGTCGATACAACCTAGTACATTCATGTGATGTTGATTTGTCGATGAAGTATTTAGAAAGCAAGCCTGAAAAGGAATTCATTTGAATAACAACAGCATATATTGGCAAATGACAAAAACAAAACAATAACCATGCATAGTCCTGAGGCATCAATATTAGACACTTGCAAGGGTTTTAGAAGTTTCCATAACATTCGTTAGCTTTTATATTATATTCCGGATATAAGAGATGGAGAAGATGTGTGACAAATATATTCAGCTTTTTTCATTGCACATTCATCAGTTTTCTTAGGGTTTTTTTTTCTTTTCTTTTTGTATTTGTGTCATGGTTCAGAACTTTTCAAACTATTGTAAAAATGTTCTCTGCACCCTTTTAAAAATTTTCCGAAAACGAATTTCAATATAAGGGGGGGAGAAATGTCAGGGTTCAGTTTCTTTTTCACTTTTTAGAGGAGTTTAGTGTGTAAGGGGCCGGATAGCTCAGCCCGGTAGAGCCGCGGGTAAGGTTTTCCGAGGGCCCCGGGGTTTTTTAGTCCCTTTTTAGGCTCACATTTTTCCATTTCTTTAAACTTTTGTTTTTCCCTTTTTTTTTTTCGTTGTTGTTTTCTTTTTGTATTACATTGAACTAAATTTTAAAGCATGATACTGATATGTTTGTGGCGAAATAAGTCTAGCACATTATGTTTCCTTGTACAGTTAACACGAGATATACATAGGATAAGTTTAATAGAAATGATTACTTTGAAAAATGAAAGGTTAAGACTTAAAATACAGAATATAGACGACACTTGCGTAATTTTATTCAAAAGATCACTAAAATTTCAGTTTCTACTGTACGCACCTGTCCATCCTTACATACAAGTGTGTTGTTGCAACTATTGGCATCGTTTACAGCTTGACAGCTGAAACATTCCAGTGCAGCTGCATCAAAATATACAAAATCTTAATAAATCTTAGGTGTTATGGGGCTTGCACATTGCAATTATTAACTTCTCAGGCACAGGCTCAATAAAATCTGTAATTTTCAACCATTATCTGATGTCTTGTTTTCTTTTCATTGCGCTCAAAAGATATCGGTTTTCCAGAATATGTAAGAAATCAACTTTCTTATGTATGTTTTCTTATCTGGAGCATCCCTCGTACGCAATAGCATTAGGAAAGAATATCAATTGGAAATTAATGTGTAAATTTTCAATTAAAGTCTGACTTTTTTTACGAAAAAACGAATGTAAATGATTTAACACTTGGCTATATTGGCTACAAAGATCCTGTAAATGATTTAGCTAACGGAAGATAAGTGCTGATACATACCGGTGTTTTGGACAAACAGATGTATAACTGACAGGACGAGTAACACTGTAATAGAAATGGAAAAAAGGAACCATCTTACGTATTGAAAATTTTTATCTTCTCTTTATCAAAAATATCATAAAATCACAGGCATTTTTCTTGACAACAATTAAGTTGATTTTTTTAAACTAAAGCTATCACTCAAGGTTATTTACACCCCAGAAGCAACTTTAAACCTTTGGGGGAAAAATGGTCTGAAGCAAAATTTGAATTATGATGTTTTATATGTGTACCAATAAATATAACAATTAATTCCCTATCTTCCAGATACATTTTCTATTTGCATTTGTCAATTTTGATCCCACATGGAGATCACTTAGATTATATAGACATAAGACAGATATATAGAAAATGACACGTAAGTCTTGCCCAGCATGCTCGCTAGCCTCATCAAATTAAACGAAAACAATGTTCTGAAGATAATTTGCATTTTAGTCAGACAAAAACATGAATTTTCTTTTAGAAAAAGAAAGAAAAATGATATTATATGAGAGTGTAATTAAGGATTATTTTTAAAAAGTAGTTCGGAACCATATGTGAGGTAAAGTGAGAGAAAAAGACACGTAAGTCTTATTATGTGTACTTTAATGCCCAAAGCTTAGATAAATGACAGGAAACACTGCCTAGTAGACCTCTACATAAACTTATTCACTTTCCTATGAAAACACATTTTATGTTCAACTACGAAGTACAGAGTTTAGATATTTGGCATATTGCACTATATTGTGGATATCTACAAAAGATATAAACTAAAAAAAGAATGGCCCAACCATATACTGTAGATCAGTAAACCTATGAGACTTACATAGTAAACATAGTAAAAGTACATGTATTTTGACTTCTCAAACAAATTTGCATTCAGCCTTTGTGGTGTTTTTGTTGTAATTTGATATCAAAGTCTGGCCAAATCAATTACACAATTTTAACAAGGTTAACATCACTTCAGTGTTGTAAATTTTGTCTTGTCTTTTGGAATCATTGATTCCAACACTTTTAAGTGTTGAATATTCAGTACCGCTCAAGCCGATGCTCAAAGGCGTGAGGGACGTTGCACTTTTTATGTAACATATTACGATAAATGCTTCCAATGAGACATTTTGTCCAACTTGTCCGGCATGCTGGCTAGCCTCATCAAATTAAACGAAAATTATGTTCTGAATATAATTTGCATTTTAGTCAGAAAAAACATGCATTTTCTTTTTGAAAAAGAAAGAAGAAAAATGATATTTTGAATATATTAACAATTAAAGCAGTACTTACTCATCCTTCAGGCCAACAATGTTTGCAATAATTTCCTTTTAGACATTTTAGAAAATTTATCAACACATTTTGACACACATGAACTAAATAGATAACGAATTTTAAAGCGTGTTTTTCCCATGTTTGATTTAAAATGGCTTATATGATATAACGTGCATGATTTCGGTGACTTATACAAATAGTGTGCACGTAAAGTAAACATGGGGAAGTCGGCTTGGCATTTCACATTATGCCGAAAAAAGATCCATTAAAAACTAAAACATTGATACTTTTTATAAACGCGGTGAATGTTTTGTATCAATTGAGATTATATTTCTAGATCAGAATCAAACTTTTCCAGAAGCAAGCATCAGTAATAACTTATATACGACTGCTACTTATGAATCTGTATATAGCTATGTCATTTCTGTTACTAGCTAGGTAACACGTTACTATGCACTGTACAACAAGCAACCTTCTCGGATGGCTCTTAAAAATGAAAATACGGAGAGTGTTATTAAGGATTATTTTCAAAAAGTAGTTCGGAACCATTTGCTAGGTAAAGTGATAGTGAACAAAATGAAACTTATTCTGAAACAATGAAAGCACGATGCATCGTGCTTTACGATTGTGAAGATTCAGAAGCATATCATTTCTGATTTAAGATAGTGGATATCTCATTGAAACTTAAAAATAATCCTCTCTACACATCTTATTAATCAAATTTCAAATACATGGTTAACACTCACATGTTGTTTGTATTATAGTGTAAAACTGTTGTATATAGGCCAGATTACTGATAAGCTTGAATTGTTTTTAATTTAATTGAACGAAACAACAAAACATCATTTCAAACCGATGATGCCGAAGCCATCACAGATAATGAGTGTAATCAAACGAAATTCTGATGTTAAGCATTGGTAAAAAGCAAACAAAATTCTGATAAATTAGATGATTAAAGTGGTAAGATTTTTCTCCCTATCTTTGAACACATAGCTTTTTTGAATCACGTTATTACTATCGTTGGCCTACTAGCATAGAATTTAAAAACGTCATGGAATTTCACGATAACATAATCTTTAATTTCCATGACGTAGGGTCATCATGCTTATGCCTATGTCACAAATGACACACTGCCCCCGTGCGGGGTCAATTTTCCCAAAAAATCGAAATATCGGCCGATGTCCGTCGGACCAACGCGACAATCGGACGGCAGCAACTGAAAAATGTTGGTCATCGGGCGGGCGCCGTCGTGTTTTAAGTACTACTAAAAAGCTAACGGTGGCCGGACGTTTTTTTTAAGGGTCAGAGAGTTGAAAATTTCATCTGGCAGTTATCGCCAGGTCACCGGACAGCGCCCAGGCGATGTTTTTGGATTGGACGATTGTTTTGATACAAAAACACCGTCCGATTTAAAAGGCGACCAGACGGACATCGCCGGACATCGACCGGCGCCCGAATAGACACCAGTTGGCGAACGAGTATCACCCGGTTCGCAGACGATTCATGCACAGTCACCGGGTGTTCATCGTTTTGTCGTACGGCGATCGCGCGGCTTTAGTTTGTTATAATTACGGGGGCTTCAGATTTCTGTAGTTGCCTAAAAATGAATCAGTGAATTTTTAAATTTGTTAACATGATTTAACATAACTCTATGGTAGTGTAAGAACGTTTACGCAGATTAATATTAAAGTAAAGGCAAACTACAATTGTTGCATTTTTGCTTGGTCTTCATCTTGTCTCTATTAGCTGCCTTCTTTGCTGGCATATTGACCACTGACTGATTGTTTAAAAGAATATCATAAAATGCCTAGCCTTTACCGCCCGGCACCCACACGGCGACCGTCCGATCCATTTATAAATCGCACAAGCGCTGTCCGGACATCGGGCTGCGACCGCCCGATCTTAAAATGCTGTCTGTAACATTATTTCGGCAAAACTCGCCCGATGACAGTTTCATTCATGCCAAACATTTACCAATATAAACAATTGGTAAGTCATCATGATTACAGTCAATATTAATAATATCTGTCATATGTTGCGGTTCGGACCGGAATATCCGTCCCGAGGGGACCCGCCCATTGGGCGGTAACGAGGCTTGCCGAGTTACCGCTCATGGGCGGGTTCCCGAGGGACGGATATTCCGATCCTAACCACAAACATATGAAAGATATATTTTCTTGCATATTCTGCCATATTATTTCATATTTAAAATGGTTTACCTCAATATGATATATGTTCATGGAAATTAAAGTCATTTCATCCATAACTATTTTCTTACAATAGCGTATGAACTTACAACTTAAATAACAACGGCGAAATGACGTCATCCTAAGACATATTTCCCTTCTAAAACGACGTCATTTTAACGCGGTTCATTCATAAATGGCGCTAAAATGACGTTGTTGTTTGGCACGCGACTCATCTGGCACCCCCATGCCAGATGAAATTTCCGGCATGGGTAAAACTCACGGAAACGCCAGTCTGCTATGCAAGAATAGAAATATATGTCAGTTCAGCTTAAATTATCAATGCAAAAATGAGCATAATGTCCTTTTAAGTCTGTTCACGAAAGGTGATGATAAAGCCTGCTTTATGCCTATTAATCTACACATTGTTGTTAACTTGACATTATGACATTTTCCTCGAAAATTTGTTGTTCAGGAATGTATAGAGAAAAATATGCATATTTTTTACTTTCATTTGAAAGCTTGAACGTGTATGTTTGTTTATGAAAAATGCGAATGCTAGAGCTTATCTATTGGGTTCAAAAATGTGGAGGACGTCCGGGATTTCTTCATCATTGTCATGTTTTTGAGGAATTACATGTGCCGTAGACTGATGCAATTACACTGTGGCACACTTTTAAGTTGACATGAAAGCCTTCCTCTTATCCAAGCAAATCTGTGCACTGTGCACTTGGTGATGGGCCCACTTCAATAGACGAAAAAGTCCATCCTTTTACTTAGACAAGACGGATAGGGGTGATTGAGTATAATGAACACCCATAGAGGAATTCATGCAGCAAACATTGCAGGACTCGATCTGTTTGACGGAACCTCGATATTTATCTGTGGTAAAATAAGCTGGGAAGGACGCATTGACCTTGTTATCATTGACAGAGGCACAATGACTACCAAGCGGTATTGAGATGTGGTTCTTTGTATCCAAAGAAATCTGTGTACTGTGTACTTGGTGATGGGCCCACTTCGATAGACGATAAAGTCCATCCTTTTACGCGCGCAGTTGACCCGGATGTAATGTAAAGGAAGTTAAAAACCCTAAATCTTCCAAGTGCCGCCGGAAACGGGTTGTGCCGAATAATTGTTGTGCCTCTCAAAAGTACTTGCAGAAAAAGTTTACTCGTTTGACATTGCCAGTATTACCCGTATTTTATGCCCGCTGCATACATGAGAATACATGTAGAATGAAAAACACGTGTTATTTCTGACTGCGACTTGTTTCTTTTCATTGCTCTTAAAGTCTCTCCACTTCCCAGGATCCCTAGTACATTTTCTGTAGGCGATTTCTGCATATTTATTCGTCAACTTAATCATAATATGGCCTGTAATGATAAAAAATTGTAAAATCTAATATGAAAATGGAGAAAAACAAAATCTCTACAAAACGCCTACAGAGCGCCTAAAACGTCAAATTTAAAAATATTGCTGGCTCGTATTATTAGCCTGTGTATGTACAGTAGAAATAATGACAAACTATTGTCCAAGTCCTCTAGCACCGCCGATAAGTCATTAAGATAAATCTGCATGATACAAAAAATCAAAATACTGACATGATATTTGAAATGAAATACTGTACATTACATTGTCATTGTTAAATTCAGTTTTTAAAGAAGATCTTACACTTTTTCTTTTCTTTTTCACATTGAATTCATAACACGAGTTGTATTAAAGTGGTCAAATAAGACACTATGCTGTCAAAATAACATTTTTAAATACATCACTTGACAATGATGTTTGCACATTTCCATTTAACCATTCCTACTAAAATAGCGCTTATATGTACGAGCGTACTTCATTTCAGTGTTTTTTTTTATATTTCTGGTCCTTCAGGATCAGTTACTCCAGCATTGTTAAGTGTTGAAAATTGAGTATCGCTTAAGCCGGTGCTAGGGGCGTGAGGGATGTTGCACTTTTTCATTACCCCTCATGTACAGACTCAAACAAACCAAATCTGCAATTTTCATGTAATTTAGATGATTTTTATACTTCCTAGGCATCGCTTTTTTCAGATAAATGTTATCTATTTCAATATGTTTGCTTTTATAATTTGACATTTTGACAAAGATCAACTGGGTCACTTAACATAAATGGGAAATATGCATTAGAATAGAGAGAAATAAAATCCCTAAAGAAAGCCCCAAATCGAAATAGAAAATATTGAAGGCTAGGTTTAATTGAGCCTGTTCATGGACAATACTAGAATATGCAAGTTACTGTCCACGCCCTCTAGCATCGGCTTAGGCAGTATTCAGCATTTATACATGTAATGGTATTTTATTTAATTTAGGAACGTGATATGTTCATTCATACGGTGGTGATCATGGAACCTTCAATGTGACACTTTAGTGCCATTGCAATGGTCACCAAGTTAGATAAAAAAATAAAACAGAAATATACAGAATTGACAGAATACAGAACTAGATTAAGCGTTTAAACGTTTTTCATTTTCGGGTCATACTGCACAATAAAAATGATTTTCTTGAAAATAAACGAAGTGAGCGACCGATCTGAAATTTTGAACACAAGTTCTTGACACCACCTACATCAAACGGTACAGAGATCTCTATAAATATTTCAAGTAAAAGCATTTAGATATGGAACGAGTACAAATGAACCCGATTAGCCTGGTCCTTAATTTTCACATACATTTACATGCTTTCATTGCTTACGAGGTATATCGTCTTTCAAGAATTATCCTGCCAGTAAAAATGATTAACAGCTAAATGTTGTTTTCCTTCTTTACAATTTATAGTTTATTATGTCAAACAGTTGGCATCGTTATTAATCTGTGCACTTTAATGACTCGTCAAGGTAAGTTTTATGCTCCCCGAAGGGAGTGCATATACTCGTCCACTCGTCTATCTCCCATCTGTCCGTCA